TTATTTATTTTTGCATACAAAACCGGGATACAGGTCAGAGTTGCAGGGGTGGTAAGCCGTTTCACCAGAGACAGTGAACAGGCAGATCAAGAAGTAACTGTAGAGGGGAGGCCAAGACTGGAGAGTTCTGTTGCACAAAGTGGGCCACCTCCCTGGCTAGGGATCTAACTGAAGTGGCTGTAGCTACCTAGCTTCCTTGTGCTGCACTTTAACCCTTTGTGCCACCAGGGAGGCCCCCTTAGTTGCATTTCTAAGGGTCTCTAGTTTTTCTTTGCTATTATAGATTTTCAGGATAAGTGGTTTTTTTAAGTAATAGTTTATTTTTACATCATTTTGTGCCTTTTCCCATCTCATTTGTGTGGTTTTTTTAGATTTATTTATTTATGCATGCATAATTAGGGCACAGACCAGAGATAAAGGGGCCTTGAGAGGATTCACCAGTTACAGAGTAGGGAGCAAAACAGGCCGACTGACAAGTACACTGCTTGAGAGGAGCAGCGGCCTGAGAGGAGCAGCGGGGCAGATCAGGAGAGGTCTATTGTGCCATGTGGAGTACCTCCAGGGTGGGGATCAAACTCATGCTGAAGTTACTTTAGCTTCTTAGTGCTGTGCTTTAACCCACTGCACCACCAGGGAGGGCCCTGTATAAGTTTTTTTATTTGGCTTGTATATAGGAAAGTTGTTGATTCCATCAAAAATAGACAAATAGAGCAAATGAATAGAATAAAAAGTCCGAAAACAGACCCACACATACATAGTTAAGAATCTGTAATCTTTCAGTGAGGGAAAAATATTTTTTGTTTTCTCCTGGTAAGTTGTGCTGAAACATTAGACATCCATAAAAAATAAAATGAGTCATGGTATCATCCTCATGCCATACATATATATGAAAATATGAGATGAATCGTAGACGTAAGCACCAAAGGAAAAACAGTAAAGCTTTGTAATATTGTAGTAGTCAAATGTTTTTGGACAAAAAGGGAAAGTACCAACGATTAAAATAATAAGTTGAGTGTCATTTAAATTAAGAGCTTGTATTCATCAAAATACCTTATAAAGAGAGTAAAAAACAAGCCACAGACAGAAGTAGGCATGATACATATTTCTGACAAAGGATTTATATTTAGAATATATAAAGATGTGACAAACCAATGGAAAAATGAACTAAAGATGGAAAGTAACTTCAAAAAAGAAAATACGTGAACAGGCAATGAATGCAATAGTCAGAAGAAAAATAAATATTAAAACCACAGCAACATACTCTGCAGACCCACTGAAAAGTATACAAAACTTAATACTAAATGTTGGTGATAATATGAAACAACTAAAACTCAGCACTGCTGTTCGGTAGGGTAAAATAGTCAACTATTTTGTGAAGTGTGGTGCTTTCTAATAAAGCCAATATCTATATCTGCTTTACAACCTGGCAATTCTACTTTTAGGATATATCCAAGAAAAATGAGTACAAATGCCTCATCACATACAGAAGAAGGTATATATTATCATATTTACAATATCTCAATAGGAGCTCCAAATGCTTAACAGAGTGGCTAAATATATTTTGGAATTTTACAAGAGTAGATGATGACATCTAGATTGAATTTCAACAGCAAATGAAATCAGTCATCTTGATAACTGACAGTATATCATGATTATCTCAATATTTGGGGGAGGAAAAGTCCATATTAGTAGGGAGGAAGAACAAAGGAACGTTCTGTGGTACTGGAATATTATAGATTTGATTTTGATAGTGAGTTCATGAGTGTGTACCATAGGTAAGGATTCATTGATCTGTATACATGTTAGACATTTGTACTTTATTATGTATATTTTAATATAAAAAGTAACATGCATAAAAATAGAAATTAAGTAAAACATATTTTTAAACTCAGTAGTGTTAGTATTGATGATCCCACTACTGCTTAGTAAATTCCACAGGTTATAGAAGCTGTGTGCAAAAAACCATGGATACCAGGTCTTTGGAATGACCAAATATATAATTTCTCATTAGTCACAATATTGCCAGAACCAAGATGCTTTCAGTTTTTTAACAAGACCTCAAAGAAGCCCACAGTAGAAAAAATCTTCCAAATTGTCTCTGTCTTCCCCCAAAGTGGATAATCATGTTAAGTAATTTGAAAAATGAGCTATGAAACAAGTTAGTCAAAGTATCCCTTCAGTATTCCAAGGGTAGTATGCTCTATTTGAGATGGTTGAAAAATAAGAACCTCTGTACTGGAACATTTCTTAATCGCTCTTAAAGTTTCTTTGCCTATTATGGAAGTGGGGTAGGGGATGTCACTAAACATGTAAGCATGAATCAGTAAAATTTAATTGTATCAACACTGTAGTTAGTATAACTTCCTAAATGTTAAAGATTTATGGGAAGATGGTGTCACAAACCAATAAAAGACAATTAACTTCTCAAATTCTGTTCTATAATTGACTTCATTTTGTGAATAGAAATTTAAATTTTCTTCATACACTTTTTCCCCTTGAATGATAATGTTGATATAATTCCATTTTATAATTTCCTGTTCATTAATCAATATGTTTGAGAAATTTCTCCTTGTACAGAAGTAAAGCTAGTTACTACAACTAAGTAGACTAATGCTCATTCACATGCAAGAAGCATTTTAAATTTCTTTCCATTTAAATTTGAATGGAAAGAGTAGTAATTATCATGGATACAGAGTGTCATCAAGAAACATAAAGGTCTCCTGTATCCTGTAGTCTCTGAAGAGTATCTTTTTCACACTGCCACAGATCTTGCAGGACTGAAGTAATTATAATGAGGAGCTCACCAAGTGTTAATTTACATTTGAGTACCTTCCTCACTTAGACTTATCCTTAGGAAAGGAAAAGAGGACTGGGCAGCATGACCTTTCTCATCCATGCCCTATCACTTTCAACCAGTGCAGCTCTCTAGATGGCCCCAGTTTATATTGCTCAGTAAGAAAAATAATTTGTTCAATCTCTGATGCCAGTTTAACACTACCTTCTTTTACCATTTCTCATACTTATCAGGATAAGCAGAGTATTGTAGTGCAGTTAATGGGAAAAATGTAAGAAAGAAAATGTAGTAAAATTCTTAAATGATAAAGGAACAAAATGTCAAGGAAAATATGTGAACACAAGCTAGACAGCACACATAGTACACATAAAACAACAGAAATGTCTTTATTGATACATAGGACCTTGCTAAAAGCCATTTCAGTTATGTAATGGGAGAGTAAAATCATACTCTGTTCAATTATGTAATGAGAATGGAATATCTATAAAAGATATAACCTTGTTTACAAATCACAGAGAGGGTACAAAGAGGATAAATACTTGAAGTAATATATATTTTAAGCTCTAAGGGAGAAAATACGAATAGAGAAACAAAACAGTTAATAAAAGAACATGTTTGTAATATAAGATTTATACCTTATAATTAGGTTATGGGTACATATAGTGACTATGAAGCTTAGTAAAGAAGTATGTGGCAACCAAAACGAACAAGTGGGCTGCTTGAATAAAGAGCTTCTGTGTAGCAAATGAACTGTCAATAAAAAAAGGCAGCCTAGGCCCTCCCTGGTGGCGCAGGGGATTAAAGCACAGCACTGAGAGGCTTGGGCCACTTCCACATGAGTTCGATTCCCGCCTGCCCCGGAGGTGACCACATGGTGTGGCAGACCTCTCCTGACCCACTCGCTGCTCCCCTCAGCAGTGTACTTTGTTGATCTGCCTGTTCTGCTCCATGCTCTGTCTCTGGTGAATCCTTGCACCCTCCGCATCTTTGGCCTCTACCCCAGTTCTATATGAATAAATAAATAAATCTTAAAAAAAAAAAAAGGCAGCCTAATGAATAAGAGAAAAATCTTTTCAGGTCATATATCTTAGAATGGATTATTCAGAATACCTGAAGAACTTACGAAACTAAATAGCAAAAAAGCAAACAGTATGATTAAAATGTACAGAGAATTTTAGTAGACATTTTCCCAAAGAAAACACATGTATGGCTAACAGGGACATGAAGAGATGCAAGAGTCCCTTGTCGCCAGGAAATGCAAATCAGAACCACAATGAGCTATCACTTCATGTGTTAGAATGGCATGAGACATAACAAGTGTTAGTTCAGAATTTGAAGAAAAGGAAATTCTTGAGCACTCTTGGTGGAAATGTGAATTGTGGTCACTTTGGAAAAGTGTGGCAGTTGCACAAAAAGTTAAGAACAGAACTATAGTTTGATCCAGCAAATACCACTTCTGGGCATTTCTTTGAAGAAAATGAAAATACTACCTAAAAAAGATATACTTCCCTATGTTCATTACAGCAGTTCACTACAGCAAAAGTAGTCGTGGTTTGGACACAACCTAAATATCCTTCGAGAGATAAGTGGATAAAGAAGATGTAGAAATGGGATATTCAAGCATAAAAAGGAAAGAAAACTTGCTATTTAGTTGACAGAGACAGAATGAGTGGAGGGGTTGAAAAATTACAAAGTTCCAGTTATAAAGTAAGTCATGAGGCTGTATTATATAGTATGGTGACCATAGCTAGTCAGTCTTTATTGCGTATTTGGAAGTTACTAAGAGAAGGGTTCTTAGAAGATTTCATCAGAATAAAAAAAAAAAGTGGTACCTGTGTATAGGAAAAGATGTTATATAGACTTACTGTGGTGATTATTTTGCAGTATATACAAATAATGAATCATTATGTTGTACACATGAAATGAATATGCTGAATTATGCCTCAGTTAAAAAAAAGCATAAGGATTAAACTCAGCATTATGTTCTGATTAATTAAATTAAAAAATTATTTTGGATAACCAGTAGTTTATAACGAAGAGCCAACTTGGCATTTAAGATCGTTCTATCAGTAATCTTACACATATCCAATATGCTTTTTAAACTTGTGTGTTAATTTGTGAAACATTTCCAGACTGTAAACATTTCAATAAAAACTGTTTCTGTTACACCAAATTTCATTTTCCTTTGTATTTTTTTCCCCTCTAGGAAACTGACGGGACATTCTTTCCATATGGGATATAGCATGGCAATTTTGAATGGCATTGTAGCTGCTCTTACTATAGCATGGTGCTTCATGTAAACCCACACTGAAACAATATTCTTGGCAAAACGTATTTATGATTCCCAATGGTGGGAAAGAACATCATTGTCTACTCAGAAGACTGGAAAATCATACTATTCATTGTGATTCAGCTACATGTCACATCGTCATCGTGGAAGGCCTTTTTAAAGCATTGTTAGCCATTGGGAATATCTGAGTATTAATTTCAAGTAATTTCTTTAAAGTGTAAGGTGTTTACCTCGACTTTTTGCTTTTGTGTGCATTGTCCTTATATTTGGTAGAGAACAATTTAATGAAAAATTCAAAAACTTGAATACAATGCCTACCTTTTGATGTATATAAACTACACTTTTGCTAAGAATTACTGATACTACATTTAAGTAGAAACTGAAATACTTATTTATTCATTATATTCAGAAAGCAAACAATGCCTACTACATGTTAAAGGAGCTACCTTTAACTAAGAATATTTAGTTTTCAATAGTCATATAATCAATAGAAGGTGCGTTTATATTTTTTAATGGGGCATAGTTCTTTTTGTGTGATTACATATTTTCCTACCGCTTATTAAATTTGTATGTTTTTAAAATTGTTACTTTTAGACAAGTGTAATTGTTATTTTTTATCTGGTACAAACCTAATACCTACCATTTTTAAGTACATATTTTGTCTTTTTTAAAAAGCACACTGTCCTTAGTTTAAGTAGACATTTTTAAGAAAAAAACTAAAAAATAAATTATTTAAGCCATTAAAATATTGAGATGTTTGAAACTGTTCATATTTCTTTTTTCACAATTATAAATATTTATCTCGGTGTATTTATGGTTAACAGAACTATTGTTACTTGTTTTTAATAAGTGGAAACATGAAGTTTTTATATTTAGAAATGCTTGAACTAGCCTCAGTGGCCAAAATAGAAAAGGTATTTTGATAGTGTACAAAGACATACATAATTTTTTATATCATTCTCATAATTTTTTCTATTTCAGTGTTCTAATTGTAGTATTGCTTCTTTTTTTTTTCCACAGTAAACCTTAATTGTTCTCACTTCCTTTCTAAATACCTGCTTAGAAAGTCACTTCAGTTTTAGAAAGATGGTCTGTTCAGAATGCTATTTTTTCAGGCTATTGAAAAAATTACATTAGGAAAACATTGTATAGCAAAACTGCTTATTCAGCTAAATGGGAAATGAGTATGTGCAGAGTGCTCCTGTTATCTACAGAGTATTGTTACTGAGTAAATAATTTGGTGTTTAAAACTCTTCTCATTTTTTCCAATTCAAAAACCTTTCTTAGGAAATGAAAAATACTATTTCATTAAAAATTATCTGATGTGTTCAGATTCATTAGGATGTGAGTGTATACACAAAAACATATATAATATTTAGGCTTATGTATTCTTTCCAGAGTTCTTGAAATGAATATATTTTCAACCTGCATTCTTCCCCCTTTGGCTCTTACATTGCAAAAGAATGTGCAAGTAACAAAATCAGTATTATTCTTTCCAGCCCTGAAAGCCCTTCCTTCTGAATTTATATGACTTGTTTCAGATTTTTTTGTCTTATGATTAAGAAACATATTTACAATAGAATCTCTGTATATAGAACCTCTCTATATATATCTATACAATATAGATACATATAGCTATGTATTTGTATGATATTCCTTCATGACTATTACTCTCCTTTTCTGGGAAATTCCTTTCTTTGGTCTAACATAGGTTCCAAATACAAAACATCTTACTTCCATAGCAAATTAATTGGTTAAGAATAGAAGATTTTAACCAGATCTGGGTTAATCCTAGTTTCTCATCTCACCTGGCTAAAATGATTACAACAGAAATGGAAACATAAGTCAGACCATTTCTTTTAATTTTTTTTTTAACTTGAAATTGTTATAGTGAAGCTGGGAAGTTGCAAGTCCAGGAGATGCTGCTTTCCAGGCTTAGGACAAGAACAGTGAGAAAGCCAACATGGGTATTGCTAATGACTTTTCTCCAGCCCCTAAAGCCCAGTAGTGACTTAGCAATTCTTGAAGTTTAGGTTATGCAAACTAATAAATTCTCCTCTGCTTTTCATATTGATTTTTATCATTAAAAATAAAAATAGAGTCAAGCTGAGTTATCAGTAGCAACTGTAAGCCATCTCCAAAACTGACTCAGGCGATGTCTTATCTGCAGGTAGCTTAAAACGTTCCATTCAGTTACTTGTGAAGGATACACAGGAAATAAATATGCTGTTGGCTAATAATTAGTCTCAGTTATCTCAAAAGTTTTGGAATAAAACTAATATTTGATCAGAAACTTAGGTCTTTAAATATTGCCATGTTTAAGTGTCATTAAAATATTTAGTTGTTATTAATAGAATATAACTAGTTTTAAATGGATAAGCTTTAGATATTGTATAGTTAATAATAACAATGCTTCTCAGTTTCCTTCCCTATAAACTAGGAAAAACACTTAATAAAAATAGCTTAGATTTAGCTTCAATGAAAACACTACATGTCAGAATTTATAGGCTGTTACTGTTAGATGAGACACTGTAAAGGAAATTTATAATTTCAAATATATTCATCAGGTCACAAGGAAGATTGAAAATAGAATGTAAATCAAAAGTTAGAATACTGATCAAAAGTTAGAATGCAAAGCAAAAGCAGCAGAATAAATCCCTAAAACAAAGATTGGAAATAGGAAGGGTAAGGACATGGGAGAACATCAACATGGGTGAATTGGTGGTGGAACCCATGGGGATTACAACTGAGATGAAAAAATGCACAAAAGAAGAACAGTGTAAAAAAGTATGTATGATAATCGTAAAAGAATAGAGAGCATCTGTCCTAGTCATCTTGGACTGCCTTAACAAATTATCACAGCAGGTGACTAAACCACTAACATTTGTTTCTCACAGTTCTGATGGCTGAAAGTTCCAAGATAGAATGGGAACAGGATCCATTCTTTTGAAAGCCCTCTAATTTACAGCCTTCCATCTTGTATCCTCACTTGGAGGAGAGAATTAGCAAGGATACTAACCTAATTTTAGAGACTCCACCACTATGACCTGATTACCTCATAAAGACCCCACCTTTAAACATCTTACTGGAGTAAGGGTTTTAATAATTGAATTGGGGGTGGGTGGGTACAAACATGAAATTCATCATCATTGTGTGAAGGGGGAATTTCCCCACTCAGACTGGATGAATGAACAAATGAACATCAGTTTCGTAGGAGAAAAACCACTAATAACATACATGTGGAGAATTTACATGATTGTAAATTCTAAAGAATAATTGGAGGGGACCAAGAATATTCTACATTTAGAGACCCAGGAGCATCAAAGGAGTGGTGGTGGGGGCAGGGGGATTTTACCCTGAGAATAAATGAGAGCTGTGCAGAGGATATGTTGACTGATAGCAACTGGATGAACACGTCCTCACACACACATACTACATTCTTATAGGTCATAAAAGGGCAGGGGGAGCAGTGATTGCTTCTCTGATTAGGAAAAGGGCAGAAGCTTAGTACTGATGACTTCTTAGTTTAGGGAAGGACAAGCACTTCAGCCTCAAACTACTCTGCCTGCCAGAGTGGGGTATCAAGACCAGTTCTGAGAATCTTGGGATGGCCTGATTTTAGCACCTACAGTATCCAATAACAAAAGTACATTTCTGTTGGTTAAATAAGGGTTTTATAATTTGAACGATAGAAATCATCTGGCTAAAAAAAGGAATTTATTGGAAGAGTATCCAGTAGCTCTCAGAACTAGTGGGCAGGAACTAAGAAAATACCAGAAGGTAACGGAGAAAGGAGCAAAGGGACTCTTTAATAATGAGTAGCCTGATTAGGATGAGATAATGGATTCCTCCTATCATTTGTTCTTGTGCAAGTTTCACAGCCCTTTGAGGAAAAGCCCCAATTACCTGTATTAGGTCATATGCCTCCTTTTGGCTTTTACAGTTGAAGGCAGCATCTTGGAATTATTTGGTGTGGGTGAATGGATATCAAATAACCGAAAGACAGATTCACTGCAGTTCACTATTGGCTGTCCAGTTTCCACAAACACTATTGTACTTCCCAAAGTACTCAGTCCTACTAATGCAGCTGTCATTTACTTCATTGGGTGGCAGGGCCAGTGCCTTCAGGTTATACCCATTTTTCTGTATAGTTTTGCCATATTCTCTCACTAAATAGTAATAATATGAACACAAATGGCAGAAAAGAGAAGGAAATACAAGTAGCAGTTGCTACCATAATTAAGCATCTGGTCTTGAGACCTTCTTTACTGCTTTTTTTTTTTTTTTTGTGATTGCTGGCTAGATTTCAACTACCTATGTTTCTCAGTATCAGTTTGTTCATAAGGAATTCTAAAGAGGCTATGGTTGTGGGGTAAGTGAAAAGAGACAGTGTGATGGCAAAGCACACTGGGAATATGATCACACAAGGAAGTCATGCCTTTAGGATTGACTGACTCAGAACACTTTGGATGATCAAATTTAAAGGGTATGCCAATGTCTGGTTTTCGATAAAAGGCAGTTTTACTTCCCAGAAACAAAATTTAAAAATTTAGCTAGTACCTAGCTTTAAAAGTGTCTGGATACATTTTTGATTAGTTACAATTAGTTACAATTGTGAGATATTACTGAAATGAGTTGATAGAAGCCACAGATGTTGTTCAACATCCACACTACCCAGAATAGTGCTCTACCAGAAAGAATAATCTGGGTCAAAATGTCAGTTGTGCCAAGGTTGAAAAACTAAGACCTGTATTCATGAGTAGACGATCAGGTAATGACCTATTCAGATAAATAGCTGGGGTCATAGGGTTACCTGCCATGCTGGTGTTACTCTCCAAAAGGCCAAGGAAAGAGTTATTAACCTAAGTAGACTTGTTTCTGTGCTAGTAACCTCTGGACCTTTGTCTGCCATGATTTGTCACAGAAGCTAGTCTTAAACTATTATGGATGACATATTACTAAAATTCTTTACTATTGTGGTCAGAGAATTCCATTCACAAAAAAAATATAGCCTCTCAAAACATTTTCTTGCCACCTCCACATACTGTTTTTGCACTAACGTGAAATAGTTGTTAAGTATTAACTAAGGTCTTCTGATCATTTCAAAGACAAAACAGCTTTTATCCATATTTCTTTCTATGGTGTACTTTAGCTAATTTTCTTTCATATTCTCTCTGCTTCTTCCCCTTTTTGTGTAGGATAATTAACATTGGCTAACTACAAAGTAGTGCATAGAGTAGAGCACTGTGAAGGCATTACTATAGAACTAAGGAGAAATGGACATTTCCTGAGATCCTGGATATGGAACTGAATATAGTAAGTTATTAGGCTTTTAATTGTCTTTCTAAGATCTTGGGTCATTGCCTTCTCAAATTTCTCACCTCTATTAGGTGTGCAGTGACGTTAGGTGGGAGATCATATTTTGTATAACCATGAAACATAAGGGGTATGAATATAACAGACCAGCAGAGGAATGGACTCTCTTGAGTATTTTGTCATTTTGGCATCCCAGCCCCCAAACCTGTTTTTATTTTGGGGGAATTCCTATATGAGTATAGGAGTCAACACTGCAGGTTGTATTAAAGAAGGCTCAGAAATAAGATATTTTGTTTATCCCGAATGAATTGCTAGTGTATAACCTTGGTGCCACCAATTATATAT